AAAAATGAGGGAAGTTGACGATAGAAAAATTGAGGTTACAAGGTTTATCATATCGTTTTGTACTTAGGTTACTAACAACATCTTTTTCTAATTAAAATATCCGCGTGTGTCAAACCCTGTAGTATCTTATATTTCGAGTTCAGTAGGATATGTGGAAAAAACGAAGGAATGCAAATGAATATTGTTTATAGACAAAATGTCCTCTTCTCTTAGACTTTGTGAAAAGGAAATCTGCTTCTTACGAATACAAAAATAGGCCTGCTTATAACGATTATCAATTAATACCTATGAGAATTCAAACAGATTGTTCGAAGAACTACATAGATATTGTCAATTAGAAAATCAGGTAGCTTTTTTATATCAATTAGGGAGTACTGTATGTACAGTCAGGTTTTTAATAAAATAATTTTACAAATGAACAAGGACAAGATAGTAAAATCTTCAATTTTATTGAAAAAATAAACCCAGATGTCTATCATGTCTTAAAGTCTTGACTTACTTATCGAAACGAATGAAATTCTGTATACAACAATAAAATATTGAGCCCCCTTCTTAATAAAAAAAAGCACTGTGAAGAAGGAATAAGACTAGTACAAAAAACTCTTTTTCTTGTCGTCCAAACACAGCAGTATTAAAGTGTTTGCTCTAGATTTGTGGCATAAGAAGTACAATATCTAGGTCGTTGTGTCAAATCCTACTCCAAAAAGTTGCAATCGATCCTTCTATTGAGACGGTATTAACTAGGGGTCCTTTGTCGCAGTAAGTGATGACACAAAAAGATCCCTTACTTTTAAAAAAATAAATTTAATTATTTAAGAGCAAAGGCAAGTGTGGATAAACTCTCCAAGGGAAACAAGCACCTTAACAAGCAAAAGCAAACAAGTAAAATAAATGCTCATCTTCTTTGCATTAACAGCAAGATCAATATTAATCATGTCAATATACAAAACTCTCAAATCATGCAAATACTGTTCTCGAATATACTGAGTATTCAGATCAAACATATCAATATATATCTTTGATTAGGTTTATTTACATGCCTGCATTCCCAGAAAGGACAGATTTAAGCTAGTTCAAATCTTAATGGCCCCCATTCACAATAGAAGACTGAAGTCTTACATTGGAATTTTTAATATACATGAAATACTGGTAGATTAATTCCCTTTAAGAATGGGGGCCACACTTACTCCAATAATTATTTTACCAGTTGTGTGGGTTTTAATGAAATGTATGGAGATCACAAAGAGTATTCAATCTCAGAAGTCCATTAAACAATACAAATTTGGAGCAGAGCAAACACGGACCTCCAAAACATCAGAGGTGGGTTCAAATGCCAATTAAGGAGGAATGAGGATTCCCTGCCGATTGGTCACATCCGCCGCGTGCTCCGTGTCATAATCGGGTAAAACTGGAAAATCCGTTTACAATTTAGTGTGTATTTGCCGAACAATAAGCATACAAAACGTCAGTCAGCATTTGACTTATGAATTATTATGAATATTATGTCCGAATGCTTGGTTTAGGGAATCGCTTAAAGTGTTAACTGACAAGATGTGTTTCAGACCGATTTTAAGGCTAAATTAGATATACGTATACGTTTTCAATAACATCTTAAAACTAATTTTTTTTTTATAATATCCAATGAAGCGAAATTTGACAACAATAGACAAAGTTCTGAAGCTTAAAAGTTAAGTTCAAATCTATATATTTATTGGATATTTCTTTTGCTTGAGTGGCACTGCAATTTACAAGTAAATCCCATTGAAAAGTGGTTAAACTTATTAGACCTCGAAAATCTCTCGTTAAAATGACATATCTCTAAATACATCAGGTAGACTTTCCATTACAAATATTCTTTTTTTTTAAAATCATACACGATTATCCTATTTCTAGTTTAAATTTGATGTTTGGCTCTTTGCCAAATATTTCAAATAATACAGCTAGACTTGATGTCGCATGACAGGGTAGCAGAAAAAGGTGTTTGATTTTGAATTTTGCAAACATTTGATCAGACCGGACCGTAAGTATGTCAAATATAACAATGCAGGATTTATGGAAGAAAATGTTACATTTTAAGAGAATGTAGTGGAAGACAGTTCTTCATTACTGACAGCAGATTTAATGTTTTAAATGCAAGATTGGAGCTTACGTCCTTTCATTCTTATTAATATGAGAACTAGCAACAGAGTATGTAGCGAACCTGAGCTAAACTCGCCTTCAGAACCAAAAACCCCCGTTTACGCAAATTTGTTATGGGGAATGTGTTGTTTAAAAATGGAAGATAAGAGTTTCTGATTTCTTTGTCGGGAAGATGTAATTTTTAATTTGTGAAATAAAATATGCTAGTATGGAGATAACGAAAAGCATTCACTCTCAAAAGTCCATTCAACAATACAAATTCTGGAGCAGAGCAAACACTTACTTCTAAAGGATCAAAAGTGGGATAAGGTGCCATGGAGGAGTGAGCATCCTTTGCCGACAAGACGGCCGTGTGTTCCTTGTCATGGTCGGGGAAAAACGGAAACTTATATCGACAATTAAGTGTGTAAATAATAGTCTAACAATTAGTATGACAAACATCAGTCAGAATTTGACTTAATGATAAATTCCATATACTGACAAGGTCATTGTATGCATCACAGAACTAACGAAATGATGACTAATAGACTAGAATGCTTATATTATTTATTTATCAATTTGTTTGTAAATAACTGCCCTACTTCGTTTTAGAAATTGTTCATGAGTAGAACACGCTCTAGTAAATCAAGTCATCTGAGAAATATGAACTTCGTATGCAGGTTATGTAGGAATATTGCTGCTTAAGTAAGGGTAGTTGACTATTGAAAAGTTAAAATCACCACTTTTTTAATAAAGCTTGGTTGTAGGAATACATTAAGTCTTTTTCTAGAAAAATATCCAGATATGAAACAGATGTGTCAGGCTATGTGGTATGGAAGGTTAACTTTGTCTTCTTAGACGTGGAATTATCTAGTCCAATGAATTTGAAAGGATACAACTTTTGAGCTGTATATTTCTGTTTGTTATCTCCATGTTTCATGCTTCACTAGATTTGTTAAGGAAAATCTCATAAATATTTATTAGGGAAAAACATCAGATTTCCATGTACCCCCTGGAAAGTAAAAGGGTTAAGTATGGTAGCAGCCGAATATATACACCAACCCAATTTATTTAAAAAATATCAAAGCAATCGTAAAATCGGTGTATTTTGTTTCATTTTATATCTTATACCGAGGATTTTATAAATAAGTAAAGCCTAAATCGTAGTGCAGGATACATGTGAATTTGATAAATAGACAGTCGTTTTCGGGGTTTTCCAAACCAGAATGTACATTAAAATATATAAAATTGGGGAAACGCGGAAGTTAATTAATTTCGTGGCCATCCTATTACATTTCTGTATGTTAGCATTTAACATCAATACTCATGTAGAAAGATTGATGACAACATACGTTATAAAATGAACAACTGTGTCATTCTAAAAGACCCCGATAATAAAGACTAAAAAGATAATTTTCTACCAATCTTTATGTTGCTTAATCTTGTTTAGCTTACCCTGAAATTATGTCGCATTAGAATCCATAGGGTTTAATCACAGCGTTTAAAATCACAATAACATGTATACGAAGTAAAAAGGCATATATTAAAGAATCATATTGCACTAAATACATGTAGAATATTACGTATATACCATAACATTTTGACAAAGAAGGATATCCATTTTTATTCAAAATAAATCATGCTGCCTTTTAAAATGATGAAGTAATTATATTTTTAACTGGTCTTTTATTATAAAGTAAAAATTATTTGCAAAAAATGAAAACTACCTGGAATATATAAGTTAAGGTAACCTCTTTTTCGTATTTCACAAAAGAGAAGTTAAAGCTGTAAAAGAATTCAATGTTTAGAAAAAAAACTTTCCATGTACATTTATATTTCATTGTCTTCAATATATCAACATAGAAACAAAAGTAATACTAGAAACTACTTAATATATTTTTTGTAGATTAATTACATCAATGTTTTTATATTGGTAATAATCACTAAAAATATTATGTTTATGTTTAACATGCTCCTTGATCTGTAAAATGATGAATGAGGTCTGATCTTTCAGATAATGGGCGATGCGGACAACTTACCAAATGATTTAGAAAATAAGAGAGGGAGATGGGGAAGAAAGCTAGACTATATGCTTTCTATGGTTGGTTATTGTGTTGGTTTGGGGAACATCTGGAGATTTCCGTATCTTTGTATGAGAAACGGAGGAGGTAAGTTAAAATGGTCTTTTCAGAAGTGCTTGAGGACATGATCAACCTACTAAGTATAAACTCTTCGGCTCATGGATATTTAATTTGTAAAAAAAAATCCAAGAAATAACTATAAGTATTTTTTTTTACATAGTAAATTTTGGTATATGTATACAAGAAGAAAAATGAATTGTGAAGCAAATGAAAAATAAAATCGATCTATAAAACATCAGAAGGTGACCAGGTGCCATGGCGAAAAAAGTTCCTTGTCGACCAGTCACACACGCTGTGTGCTCCTTGTCAAGATCGGGAAACAGAACAGAAAATCATAGACCATTCAATGTGTAAAAATGGCTTGAGAATTACTAGTAGTATTAAAAACGCCTGTCAGCATTCGACCAAATAATATAATATTACATTTATTCGGACCCAAGAACGGCATCAGGCAGACAGTTTGGTTCCGACAAAACGCAGGAACTCTGTCAATAAATGTTTTGTTATACCTTTCATTTTATTTTATTGACATACATGTTTTTGTACTGTATTCTGTGATGTAACATAAGGTCTGTCAATGATTAACACTAACGAATGAAAATGATATTAAGCTCCGCCCATTCTGTGACGTAAGCGGTCCAACATTTCTCCGAGCGGTCCAACATCTCACTCAGCGGTCCAACATCGATTTTTTTATGCCTGCTCAGCAAAACATTAAAAATGGTAGTCTCAGTTTTCGTATAGATTTGTATAGGAACAAATTTTTAAAGGTATAACAATAGATTGTATTTGCTGACAAGGACATTGTGTCAGCCAAAGAACTTGCCAAATGACTAGTTTTAACGAGACTGTTGATATTCTTGTTTTATCAACTTGTTTGTTAAAAGCTTGTCTCGCTTTAGAAATAATTCGAGAGCATTTTTTGTATCGAACCAACTGATTCAACTGGAAGCCAAAAACCCCATATGTAGGTGATAAGAGTACATGTATATTGCTTTATAAATAAGAGAAGTTGGCGATAGAAAAGTTAAAGTGTTATGTCTAGAAGGGAAGTCATCTTGAACCAAGGTTACGCTATTTTCTCAAAGGTCAATGCAATATGCATGCACAAGATGTCAGATATTGATTCGCAAATGATGGTTTATTTATATTTTTTAAATGGATGAAAGTATTTATACTCATTCATTTATGTAAATAGATCTAATAAATACTGATTATCATAGCATCATACTTGAATAAAACTGCATATACATGATATTGCAGGTGCTTTTCTGATTCCCTTTATATTTTTCCTCCTGGTTGCTGGTCTTCCTTTGTATTTTCTCGAGGTCTCTGTAGGACAATTCACAGGAAAGAGCTGTTTTCATGTGTGGTCGGCTTGTCCAATTTTTGAAGGTGAATTTTCCCTTTTTTAAAAAAAGAAAAAAGAAAACAAAGAACATGTAAATCAAAATGAAATTAGAAAGACATTACCTTGAGTTGCAAATAAACGTTGACGTGTAGTATACGCCATTGCTAAAAATCAAAATATCAATTATATAAAAAAAAGTATATTTATTTGATATATATTTACTTGATATTTACGAAGGAGTTGGAGTGGGAATGTTCGTTGTTCTCTTTGTTTTAACCCTGTACTACAATATCATCATTACCTGGACCGTTTTCTATCTCGGAAGTTCGTTCTTCTCGCCTCTACCATGGGCAGATTGCAAGAACGATTGGAACACTCTAGAATGTTTCCATGACGTTTCACAAATATCTTCACGGCATGCTACAAATGGAACAACGGACGCTGTGTTCGAAAAGTCAGTCTTGTCAACAACTAGTTATTCCATCACATATCACAACAACCTTACTACATCTGTTGTTGAGAATATGACAAAAGAAACAACACTTGGCTCAACAAGTGAAGAGGAATTTTGGTTGTAAGTGACAATTAAAATAATTGATCGTTGTTAAACCACTATTAAATATTGTACAGTGAGTTGTTGGAATTTTTCCAAATTAAAACATTGCTTATTATTGTTACATGCACTTGGTAACGTTCTACTAAAATCCATAAAAACAGAAAGGTATAAATGTTTTACGTAAAGAAGTACATCGTAATCAAACTTATTTATGCAGTAACCGTGTTCTCGATTTGTCGGAGGGACTTCTTGATTTTGGCGGTTTGAACTGGCGCCTTACAATTTGCTTCCTCGTGTCATGGATCGTGGTTTGTTTGTGTGCAATAAAAGGAATAAAATCTCTTGGCAAGGTACTTGAAGACAAATACATTGACTGAAATTGTTTTTTTTAACTTTCAATCACTTTTTAACGGGAAAAAGGAATCCTTTGGTTTGATATCCCACATATTTATACAGTAATGAGGAAAAACTACTTATTTTAGGTTGTTTATATCACAGCGACCTTACCATATTTGTTATTGACCGTAATCCTCATTAAAGGCCTTACTCTTCCTGGGTCAACTGATGGCATCCTTTTCTATATCAGACCAGACTTTGATAAACTAGCCAGTGTTCAAGTAAGCACACAGTATAAAAAGAACCCAAAACTAGAGTTTGCATATAATTTTAAGCTTTTCTCATTTAAAGAAGTTTTTATATTCGTATACACGTAACTCTTGTATCAATTATTACCTCATAGCTATAAACCTTTGAGTAAAACAATGATTTTTTCATAGGTATGGTTAGAAGCCGGACTCCAAGTCTTCTATTCCTTAGGACCCGGATGGGGACCTCTTTTTACAATGGCTAGCTTCAACAAATTCAACAATAACTGCTATAGGTTAATAGAACTAGCTTTTGAGTATAAATTTAGGGGAAAGTGTAAATTTTGTATCTGGAGAAAACCATTGTAAACCTGTTCCACAACAGTGCAATATACAGATTGGGTATTTTAAAATACACAAAAAATGTTTCATAATTATCTACAGAGAACTGTATTCGCTTATATTTAGGCTCTTGTCAAGTAATGTATCTGGTGCTAGATTATTTGATCCTGGAGAATATTGTTTCTGTTCTCAGAAGTTAATCATTATATTTTTAAACGTATATCAACCAGTCAGGTTAGACATTGAAATGACGTTTAATATATACAATGTTGAAAGATATGGTTTTATATAAAATACAACTCATTTACTATCGATAGTTTAGAAATTTTAAACTGTATTCATATTAACTCATAATAAATTTACATTTTAGAGATTCAATAATTTTAACTCTGGTCAGTGAAGGAACAAGTATATTCGGGGGGTTTGCCATTTTCACCATTGTTGGTTACATGGCACATGTGGCGGGTAAACAAGTGGATGAAGTGGTGCAGGCAGGTAGGAACAAAATCCCCCCTCCCTCTCTCTCCTCCCCCCTCTCTCTCTCTCTTGAGCAAAGCAAAATACCGTATAAGTAGAATTTTTAGCGAGAATTTAATATTGGCATTATTAGCGAGGGTGCCGAGATCGCTAAAATTAAATATCGCTAAAAATTAATTTCGTTTTATTTGTAATAGCTTCTTTAATGTGCGCTAGAAATAAATTACCAGTTTTTAAGGACAAATCGCTAAAATTGCGTCTCGCTAAAATTTCCTCTTATGTATACGGTATAAGTACCAACAAATACAAACATTAAAACCAGAAAAAAGGGCAAAGAGCAACTTTAAATCTCTTGCTAACATTCTTCAATACCATTCAAAGAACAAATTAAGTAGTATATAAGTAAAGTAATGGCATATCTAACTTTCGATATCTATCTCTAAATCATAATGTGCATTCACTGTGTTAAAACGATACGCCATATTGGAGGTCAACAAGTCCAGATGTCATTATTATTCAACCAGTTTAAACTTGACACAATATAGTTACGATACAAAAGTTTTTCTTTTTTACGAACATATGTCAATAAAAGTTACTTTGATGAATAAGTTTAGAATTTTAAAATTAATTACTATTGCCATTATACATGTATTTCAGTTTAAAGCCCGTTAGCCAAAAGGGAAATTATCTGGTACATGTATAGTTTTACTTCAGAGATGGCGAACAAAAAAAAAAATACCTCTGGGGTGGAAAACGTTATACAAAACCCATCTCTTCATAAATCATCAATTTAATATTGCAATATAAAATAATCACTGAATCTGTTACTAACACATAGAAACCAATATTTCCAAACTAAACTAATTTATTTCGGATTTCACATTAGGTCCTGGACTGGCTTTTCTTGTGTACCCAGAAGCTCTCTCGCTACTTCCTTTACCAAATCTCTGGGCTGCCTTGTTCTTCTTAACATTGTTTACTGTTGGATTAGATAGCCAGGTACTGTATCCGAAATAAGCAAAATGCGCATTTCAGGTATTTCCAAAGACCTTGTTTTATTAAAAATTATTTTACCATTTTCAAAACTTAAGATGGTCTCCCTTACATTCATAACGAATTTTAAATTCAAATAATTTTTCATTTTCTTCGTTAAATGTAAAACATATTTGAATATATTATGCATCGTTGTAAGATAAGGTATTTGTATACTAGTATACTTGAACACAGATAGTTGGATCTCCTGTATGGCCTATCGCTAGGATATTGCACTTGTCGTTGCAACATTGTTCTTTTCATTGAATATATATACAGATAATTTACTATCTGTTAGTATTTCTACAAGAACACATTTGTCTAATTTAATTTTATAAACACCAAGGCTAATGTTTTTTCATTAGTTCTTTTATTATATTCTTAATTTATTAACACAGTTCGCGACCCTTGAAACGTGCTTGACCGCCATCAGCGATATTTTTCCTCGCATGCGGAATCACAAGCCACTCTTGTCAATGGTTTCGTGTCTGTTTTTCTTTCTGGTTGGATTAATTCTATGCACAGGGGTAAGCTTTCTAATTATACTGAATCATACGGCTGGAATAAAAATCACGGAAAAAATTAAATAGTTAGATCAACGTTAACTTTGTAATGAATTTTACCTCTGCCGGACTATTATATATAAAAAGCCTCATTCAAGTGAAATTATAATACATGTAACTGTTTAATTTTTCTTTCAGTGTGGAATCTACATATTTCAGTTGTTAGACTGGTACATTGCAGTCCTTTGCTTGCCTCTCTTTGGACTTATTGAGTGTTTAATTTTTGGCTGGATTTATGGTAATTGCCTTCTAACAACTTCTAAAGCAGGGTTTATTTGACTCTTCTTGTCTCAAAATTGAACTTTTTCAATAAAGGGCTGCAAAATTATATCTGCAAGTCATTTCAGATTTTTTAAAAACATTTTAGTGAAAAAGAGCAAATTTTATTGGGACAGGGTCCTTACAGGACTTAGATGCAAGGGTTATTAATGCAATGACACAAGGATAAAGCCGTGATGAGTAAATGATTTGTATTTAATTACTAGTACCTTGCATATTAGGGGCAGATAACTTGTCACGTGATATAGAAATGATGATTGGAAGAGGTGTACCAATTTACATGAGGATTTTATGGTGTGTCATAACGCCCCTTCTGTTAGTGGTGAGTTTTTCCCCGATCTTTCACATTATACTTGGCTAACTCTGCAATTTAAGTTATAATGTATAAATCTAAAGAAAATAAAAAAAAATTATTATTAAAAAAATGTTGAATGGAGATTATATAAACGGGGCTATCTTTCATAGTTTATTTTTCTGAAATTAACATTGATAAAATATTTATTTAAAATATCTGAATCTTTTACAGATACTTTTAGCATTTTCTATAAGTACGTATCGCCCACCAATGGTTGGTTCTTACACGTATCCCATGTACGGTAGGGCTATTGGCTGGACCATAGCCTTCCTTCCCATAATCCCTTTACCAATCTGTGCAATACGTGCCATAAGACGGTCTAAAGGTGAAACTATATGTGAGGTAATGTTAGCATGCTCTGCTTATTTGATTTAATTCCTTTAAAATTCTAAAAGAGCAGATCGACCAAAAAATGTATGAAAAATGTAATGTTTTTAAAAAGCTTTAATGATTTTAAAATTTATGTTTGTATTTTTTTTTTATTACGTTTTTTTTTTTTTTTACAGAAAATATGTTCATCCTTTAAACCTTCAGAGAGATGGAGACCAGTCTCTAAATCGGAGAAATACAGAATTGAAAACAGAACTGAAGACTTTAAATCTACCATTCTCAGAAACATATTTGGGAAAAAAGTTTAGACCAAGGAACCTTATAGCTTCTGTCTCAAAACCTAAGAGAGATTTTATTTTTTGCTCCAAATATAGTTTAACATTCAAATTAGGTTATAAATTATTATTATAATGATAAAATCCGTCATAAAAATAAACTTTATGTTAATGACATTTAATTTTACCGTTTACATTTGAAAATCCAAGGGTTGTCTGAGAAAAAACGCAAAATTTTTAAATGTTTCATAAACTGTTTTATTTTTTTAAGCTTTTATACATCCGGCATAATTATCCAAAGTGAATGGAAAACAAAAAGGTTTAAATGAATTTTACCAATGCATTACATAAATCTTGTATAGAAAATACTGCAAAATTAAATATATGTGTGTGTGAATGTATACATGTAGCTTTATTAAATAAATGTCATTAAACGGCCTTGTTTTTCAATGTATCTATTAGAAGAAAAGTGCATGATAAAACGTTCAAATAAGCAAAAGTGGGTGAAAAAAACCTAAAATGTAATGATATAGTCACAAAAAATTATGATAACTTTCATCACATTCACCTAATTAGTGTACTCAGTTCTACTCATATGGTTAGGTCTTCTGACAATTATCTGTTAAAAAATATAATCAGCTAATATTAAGTACTAGAAGCTTACACCCCAATTAGCTTTTGCTGAAACAATAATTGTCATTATAAGTAAAAAATAAATCGTTTACATTTTCATTATATAAAGATTATCTTAAAATTGAGGGGCGAAACTTGAAAAATGTAAAAAAACAAAAAACAAAAAAAAAACAAAAACAAAAACAAAAAAACAAAAAACAAAACTGTGAATAAAGACAATCATCGAGTTTCTGTCCTTGTAGGATAACGTGTAACATGATCGCTGTGTTCATCCATAATATTATGTACAATTGTTTCTTATATATTTGTCAGGAGACTTTACCATGCGGGTAGAATTAAGATTTTTTCCAAAATTCAAGTGATCATCTTTACTGTGATCAAATACTAGTATGAAGACAAGAGATAGTTAAATTATGCTTAAAAGTCCATTAATGCAATATATAAATCAGAAGCAGAGGAACACAGATCTCTAAAACACCAAAGGTGGGATCAGTGCCATAGAGAAGAAAGCATCCACTGTGTAGGAGTTATACCCGTCGTGTGCTCATTGACAAGATCGAATGATAGGAAATATCCGTAGACAATAAATAAGGGTCTGAGGAATTAAAAAAAAACCAGCAAAAGGGCTTATCACAATGAATAAAAATTTGAAATATGAAAGCCATCGAACTAACTTTTCAAACGGTATTGCCAAGAGTGCAGTTTTGCAAGCTTGTCTTTTTTTTATTACAAGAAATAACTTACATTGCACCTTATACCACGTCTTATGTTTTTGAGGTCCCTGATTGTTCTTCTCTTGATTTGTATTGCTGAGAACTTTTGAGCCTGAATACTGTTCGTTATCTCCATATATTTCATCATTAACAATGAAAGTTCTAGCCAGAAACGATGAAGTGATAAATGGGCAAGTTTAAAGTTTGGAAATTTTTTGCACAAATACGTCAGATTCCATGGTCAAAGTAAAATATATTGGTAATACTGAAAGAAAGGGTTTGCCACAATGCATAACATACGTGAATATATTATGAAAGCTCTACTCGACAATAATGAATATCCTATCTCCAAACAATCAAAAGTTTATAGAGAAGGTTTTTAAGGTTTTGGTCATTCCGATTGACAGACGGATAAAGCAAAAACTACATGCCTCCAAATTTTCAATTAAAAGGGCATAATATCAATTTAGTTGGATTCGCTTATGAACAATCAAAAAATTGCTTAACAATAACTTGTAAAAATGTTTCTTATTTTAAATTTTCAAATGATTTTGAGAAATAGCACGAATGAATTTTTAGGTCACCTGAGTAAACTCAGGTGACCTATTGCTATCTGTTTTTGTCCGTCGTCGTGCGTCGTTCGTTAACATCTGAGCATTTTAAGCTTCTTCTCTGAAACCACTGAACCAATTTCAACCAAATTTGGAATATAGCATCTATGGGTTAAGGGAAACAAAATTTGTGAATTTCATGGTCCCTGCCCCCCTGGGGCCTGGGAGTGGGGCAAAAACCACTAAAATTAGTGCATTCTTTAAAAATCTTCTTCTTTACTCCTGGACATCAAGCAGTCAAACTGTTGGTATGATTGTAATTAGCATTGAGTCCTCTACCAAAATTGTGAAATTCATGGCCCCAGGTTCAGGGATTCTGGTGCTAGGGAAGGGCTAAACAGGTTATATAGTGAAAATGCATTATTTCTTTCAAATTCTTCTTTTCTGCTCCAAGGCATAAAATAAACTGACCAACTACATAGGTAAGTTGAAAATGACCGCCTTTTCCAAAATTGTGAATTTCAAGGCCCCCAGGGTCAGGGGTTCTAGTGCTAGGGCGGGGCTATATAGATTATATAGTGAAAATGCATAAATTCTTTGAAATTCTTCTTTTCTGTTTGTGGGCATTAAATAAACTAACCAAGTGCATAGTTATGTTGAATAAGACTGCCTTTTTTCAAATTGTGAATCTAATGACCCCAGGGTTATAGTGGTAGGGAGGGGCTATATAGATTATATAGTGAAAATGCAAAAATTCTTTGAAATTCTTCTTCTCTCTTCATGGGCAATAAATAAACTAACCAAGTGCATAGTTATGTTGAATGAGGCTGCCTCTTCCAAAATTGTGAATTTCATGGCCCCAGGGTCAGGGGTTCTAGTGCTTGGACGGGGCTATATAGATTATATAGTAAAAAATGAATTATTTCTTTGAAAATCTTCTTTGCTCCTGAGTATTTAATAAACTAACCAAGAACGTAGTTATGTTGAATAAGGCTACCTCTTCCAAAATTGTGAATTTCATGGCCCTTGGGTTGGGGGTTCTGGTGTTAGGGCGGAACTTTATTAATTATATAGTGAAAATGCGTAAATTCTTTAAAACTCTTCTTTTCTGCACCTGGATATTTAACCAATGAACTATGTACATAGTTATGAGGAGGAAGGATGCCTCTTTGAGAATTTTGAATTTCAGGGTCCCTGGGTTAGGGCTTCTTGTGTTAGGGCGGGGCTCTAATGTTTATATAGTGAAAATGCATGGATTCTTTGAAAATTTTTAAAATCTTTGTTGTTGGGTATAATGCCAATGATCTTAGTATATATCTATGACAAAAAAACCTGCTTCTTCCAAAAATGGTTAATTTCCTGGCCCCTGGGACAGAGGTACTTGGGGGGAGGGTAGCATAGTCTGGAATAATTTAATGCTTTGAAATCTGCTCCTCGGTATTAATCAACAGCATGATGAAATAAAATTTTTAAAAATTCCAAAATTTTGAAAGATGGGGCCCTAGCGTCAGTGGTTCCTGTGGGATGGGGATCTCAACTGTGGACCCGCCCTAGCACAAGAAGCCCTGACCCAGGGGCCCTGAAATTCACTAAAAGTGGAAATGCATTTTCTCTTTCTTACTCTGATCTACCTCTGGGTATTAAGTAACCAAAATAAGCATGCTGAGTGTTTAATTATGATAAGCAATGGTGCCTCTTCCAAAATTGTGAATTTCATTGCCTCTGGTTTAAAACATGAATCAAATTCAATTGTTGGAAAGTTGTTGCATGATATTCAGGTGACCTATAAGGCCCATGGGCTCTTGTTAAAGATACAAACGGTTTTATTAGCTCACCTGAGCTGAAAGCTCAAGTGAGATTTTCTGATCACATTTTGTCCGGCGTCCGTCTGTCTGTCCGTCTGTCCGTCTGTCTGTCTGTCTGTCCGTCTGTCTGTCTGTCTGTCCGTCTGTCTGTAAACTTTTCACATTTTCGACTTCTTCTCAAGAACCGCTGGGCCAATTTCAACCAAACTTGCCACAAAGTATCCTTGGGTAAAGGGGATTCAGGTTTGTTCAAATAAAGGGCCACGCCCTCATTCAAGGGGAGATAATTGGGAATTAAAGAAAATTTGGTGGCATATTTAAAAAATCTTCTTCTCAAGAACCACTGTGCCAGGAAAGATGAAACTTATAGGAAAACATCCTCAGGTAGTGTATATTCAAGTTTGTTCAAATCATGACCCCCGGGGGTAGGGCGGGGACAAAATGGCCGACCAAAGTTTTATATAGAAATATATAGGAAAATTCTTTAAAAATCTTCTTCTCAAGAATGACAAAGCCATAATTCATCATATTTATGTGGAAGCATGCTCAGGTAGTGTAGATTCAAGTTTGTTCAAATCATGACCCCCGGGGGTAGGGCGGGGCCAAAATGGCCGACCAAAGTTTAACATAGAAATATATAGGAAAATTCTTTAAAAATAATCTTCTCAAGAATGTTAAAGCCATAATTCATCATATTTATATGGAAGCATGCTCAAGTAGTGTAGATTCAATTTTGTTCAAATCATGACCCCCAGGGGTAGGGCAGGGCCAAAATGGCCGACCAAAGTTTTTAAAGATATATATAGGAAAATTCTTTAACAATCATTTTCTAAAAAATAGCAAATCCATGATTGGTCATGGGACTACTTTTGGATTTAAACTTTACAATAAAAAGCTATTTTGTACTTTTTCCTACCCTTAGTGCTCAGGTGAGCGATGTGGCCCATGGGCCTCTTGTTTTATTTTATCTTTATTTTATTACTAAATTGACAACAAATTTTTCCGTTATTTCCCGATCAGGACAATGAGCACACGGCGGGTGAGACCGTTCCTTAGGGGATGCTTTTTCCTCCATAGAATCTGATCTCACATTTGATGTTTTGGAGCTCCGTGTTTGCTCTCCTCCGATTTTGTATTTTTTATGGACTTTTGATCTTAAATACTGTTCGTTATCTCCATATGTTTTATTAATCTGTTTATAAGACCGACACGAAGACAGTGTGGTTATTGATAGATAGATTTATTATTTCCAAGACAGGTCCTTTTCAGACTTTACAAACAACAAGCATGTTTTTTTATATATAGAATTACAAGCACCGACAAGTTATGTGTATACTAGATAAGCTACAATGCATGTATTAGTACATGTTTATAGTATAACACTACGTATGAAAGGAATGTTGATAAATGAAATAGTACAGTCGTGTACCCTAATGCAAAGTTAAAAATTAATTCTATTAAACTAATTCTATAATCCCACGTAGCAAAAGATACCATGTGGCAAAAGAATGAACTATACTATTACAACACGAGGGTTGTCCCAGAAAAACGCGAATATTTTCAATATCTTTTGTTTTACTGAGACTGTAAAGTTAAAAAATTGCATACATCATTGTCAACATTTTTTGAATAATACTTAAAAAATTTAATGAAATATCTCTAAAAGTAACATATTTTTCTCAGGAAAACGAACCTTACAAATCAGCTGTCGGAGCACCACTGACAACGT